GCAATATCTTGGGTTTTGTCCTAGACGGCTGGCCAGTGGGGCAGGTAGCCAACCATCCCACCCTGGCAGGCATCTCCTGGCCCACTCCACCCCCATCTTTTCTGTTCTCCCCACAAGGATCCTGGCCAGCCTGCCTGTTTTTGCCCCCAGAATGTTCTGTGCACTCTGAGGCCTGGCCTCCATTCAGAGCCAAGACAGCTGGCCCTGTTTCTAGTGCATGAGTCCATTGACCAGAAGAGGGGCTGGGCCTAGGGTGGGGGTCCTCCAAGAAGCAGGGGCTGAGACGGTGTCAGAAGTGACTGGGGGAGCTGGGATGCTTGGCGCTGCAGCTCTTGGTCAGGGAGGGGGCCTGAGTTCCTTCTGGCCTGGACTTTTCTTCTGTTGCTCCTGCAGCCTCAGGCACAAGCACAAGCATCCTGGCCCTCCCTAGTTTCCAGAACGAGCGTGGGCAGAGACTTGCTCTTCAGAAGGAGGTGATGGCAGCGTGGGCCTAACAGCAGATTCAGAGCCTCACAAAGGGACCAAAAGTTCTAGTGCACTTTCACAGGTTTTTTTAAATGAGCCTAGGAACGATGTCATACAATTGATTCATCATTTTACAGAACTCTAAGAGTCTCGGTAACGTATCCACCGACGGTTGCTTGCGATGTATTTATGAAAAACATTTGCATTTCCTTTAGAGAAAAAAAGAGTGTCATCTAGGATACGTTACATGGGTAAAAAGATCACTGAGCAGCTGACAAAAGGGTAGGCCATCTGGCTACGACACAGAGAGAGACAGAAGCACCTCCGAGCTGGCCATCCTGCAGGGCTGGAGTTTAAGAGCGGAGTGGACAAGGGAGGGGCAGACTCAGCAGGGAGTGGAGCCCCCACACCCCCACACACACGCACTGGGGGCCCAGGTCTCAGTGAAATTGTGCTGTGTGTCAGGCTGTATGTGGGGAAGCACTTTGGTCACAAAGGATCATGGAACTGAAGGTCCCGGGACCAATGGCTCTGGGTGTTAGGGGCCCATCCTCCTGTCCTTCACCTTGGTTCAAGGGTGGCTGGGGGTCTTGGCCCAGCTGCCAAGCATCTTGCTTGCCCCCTTTGGGTCTGGACGATGATAAATGGTAATCAGAGTTGAGGGAAGCTACAGTTTCATGGTTGCTGGGGGAAATACTGAAGAACCAGCTTATGATAAGGAGGGTTTGGGGCTGGGTGTTATTTTTGCTGTGTGTGGAGAGAGGTCTGTGGAGAGGTGGATGCTGGCTGAGGTGGATGCTGGCTATACACTGTAGGCCTGTTGGAAGGAAGCAGACGGGGCAGGCAGACTCTGCTGAGACAGGAAGGCCCCTTCCCCTGCCTCCAAGAAGGACCATGAATGTGGAGGCAGGTGTCCAAGCTGTACCCGTCCTCCCAGCTGCCCCCCAGGGCCAATCAGCAGGGTTAGAGCAAGAGATGCCTGAGTGCCCTGAATCCCCCAGGGAGATGGGAGCAGCACTTGATTTTCTGGATCCTGCTTCCTTATGGGGAATGGCATGTCCCTTTTCCATTTTTAGAACAGGAAGGGCCAGAAACGGGGTTGTCCATTTTGTTTGTTTCCCAGTGTTCTTTTTCCTACAGTAAAACACACAAGTTATGAGGCGCCTGGCTGGCTCAGTCGATGGAGCAGGCAACTCTTCATCTTGGGTTTGTAAGTTCAAGCCCCACATGGGGTATAGAGATTACTTAAAAATAAAATCTTAAAAAAAAATACTTAAGCTAAAATTTGCCATTTTAGCCATTTCAGTGTTACAGGTGTACAATTCAGTGGTATTAAGTACATTCACAGCATCGTGTAACCATTGTGACTATTTCCAGAACTTTCTCATCATCCCCCAAACAAACACCATACCCATTCAGGAGTAATTCCCTGACCCCTCCACCTGACTCCAGCAGCTTCTGTTCTACTTTCTTTCTCTGTGGATTTGCCTGCCTTACAAAGTTCACAGAAGTGAACTATATGTATCTATCTATATCTATATTTTTATCATATAGTATATTTTTATATTTATATATATTTATTTGTATAAATTTATATCATATATATATTATCATGTAGTATCTATCTATATTTTTTTTACGTACCATAACATCTTCCACGGTTCATCCAAGTGGTAGCATGAATCAGTGTTTCATTCATGTTAGTGACGAAGTGCAATTCATCCTGGGGACGCAACACGTCCCTTCTTCTGTGGATAGATGGGCTGTTTGCCCCGTTTGGCTGTTGAGAATAATGCCGCGGGGAACATCGGGGCAGTGGTTTCGGTTCAAGTCCCTGCTTCCAGTTCTTTGGAATGTGCACCCAGGAGTGGAGTTGCTGGTCATAGGTTAGTTCGATATTTAACTTTTCGAGAAACCACCAAACTGCTTTCCACAGCAGCTGCACCGTTTCTCACTGCTGTCAGCAGCCCACAAGGGTTCTGGTTTTCCCACATCCTCGTCAACATTGTTATTTAACATTTACCAATTTTTTTTGGGAAATGAGCCACCTTAATGGGTGTAAAGTGGTATCTCGGGTGGTTTCAGTTTGCATTTCCATAATGACTAATGATGTTGAGCATTTTTCCACGTGCGTATTATTGGTCATTTGTAGATCTTTGGAGAAATGTCCTTTGCCCATTTTCTCATTGGGTTGTTTGTCTTTTTGTTGTTGCAAAATAGGAATTCTTTATATAATCAAGACCACCTTTTTTTTTTTTTTGAGAGAGAGAGAGAGAGAGAGAGCGCGACCGTGTGGCACAAGCAGGGGGAGGGGCAGAGAGAGAGAAAATTCCAAACAGACTCCCCGCTCAGCACAGAGCCCCACATGGGGCTCTATCCCACGACCCTGAGATCATGACCTAAGCGGAAACCAAGAGTCAGATGCTTAAATGACTGAGCCATCCAGGTGCCCCTGTATATTTAAGATATTAAACCCTTATCAGATGTATGATTTGCAAATATTTTCTCCCATTCTGTGGGTTTTCCTTTCGTTCTTTTGATAATGTCCTTTGATGCTTTTAATTTTAATGAAATTCAATTTATTTTTCTTTTGTTGCCTGTGCTTTTGGTGTCATGTGTAAGAATCCATTGCCAAATTCAAGGTCATGAAGATTTACTATGTTTTCTTCTAAGAGTTTTATAGTTTTAGCTCTGAAAATCAAGGCTTTGATCCATTTTGAGTTCCTTTTTGTATGTGGTGTATGAGAGTCCAACTTAATTTTTTTGCATGTGGAAATCTGTCCCCAAGCCATTTATTAGAGAAACTGTTCTTTCCTCTTGAGTGGTCCTGGCACTCTTGTTAAAAAATCATTTGATCATAGACTGGGGGTTTATTTCTGGCCTCTCTGTTCTGTTCTGTTGGTTTATATGTTTACCTTATGCTAGTACCACACTATTTTATTTACTGTAGCTTTGTGGTAAGTTTTGAAATCAGGAAGTAGGAGTCCTCCGACTTTGTTCTTTCTCCAGTTGTTGTGGCTCTTTGAATTTGAAATGACCTTTTGGAGGACTTTTCTATTCCTACAAAAGATGCCATTGCAGTTTTGATGGGAATTGCACTGTATCTGTAGATGACTTTCATAGTGACATCTTAACAATATCAGATCTTCCAGTCCATGAACATGGGATGTCTTTCCATTAATTTGTGTCTCCCTTTATTTCTTTCATGCTCTCATGATACTAAATGTATCATCTGTGGAAGCCTTATAAAGGCCTAGCCTCTTCGGCCAAACCCTGAAGTCCGTGCGCAGCTTCTCCCTGCACTGCTACCCTGAGGTCAACAGCCACGAGAGATAGGAGACCCAGGATCCTGCACCGAAGCTTTGCCTCCAGCCCTCGATGTGGTCAAGAAGCCATGTTTGAGACTGTGCTCGGCGAGCCACTTAAAAACTTTCCCTTATGGCTTGTTTTGAACCTATACAGAACAGAGAGGATCTGAGAGTGCTGCTTGGCTTCCGTGCTCTGGCCTCCTGGCCTGGCGTTGAGTTTCCTTTATCCTCCCGACGATTCCCTCTCCCCCCAGAGTGGTTTAAAGTCCCAGCATTGCCCTTTCTATTTGCATATCTGTTAGGTAACCAGGACTCAGAGCCAAAGCAGAGCCTCCCCCCAGGTTGCAGCCCTCCCTGTGCCCTCTTGTAAGCCCCGAGGCACACAGTGCTGTGCAGTTATAAACAGACCTAGAGATTAGCGATTTACAAGCCAGGTTTTTAACACAAGCCAAGTATTACAGAGATTGAAATTTATAGTTTATGACTCTAGAGTCCATCAAATAATGGGATACCTAAGTAGAATATTACTTCTCATTTTTGATATTTTGATTATTTCCAACATTTACTGGGTATTTTTTTAAATGCAGAGAATAAAACAGTGGTGCGTTGTAGCATCACCCAAACAGTGATATGGGTAATAATGGTAATGACAAATAAAGCAACACAGATGTGTGGTTAGGAAATCCTGAGCGGTAGAAAGTTCTAGCTCCTTCAGGCTGCAGGGGCCTCCCCTCGCTGTTTCCTGTCGGCTGTCCATTAGAAGAGAGATACTCTACCCTTATCCACTGTATCCTCCCCTGCCTCACCCCGTGTTTTCCCCTCACCAGCCCCCTGGGTCACGGTCGATGCTGCCTCTCAGTGGGCCCTTGCCCAGGGTGGGCCCCAGAGCTACGGCAGACAAGACTTCTGAGGTGTACTCTTTCTGGCACGGTGGGGCCAAGGCGCACACCCTGGGCAGGGACACTGCCTCTGGTGCTGAGACCTGCCACATCTGCTCAGGACTTCAGGCCTTCTGCTGTTGTCTGTGTCCCTGGGGTCCCAGGCTGACATCTCCCTACCTCTTTGGGGCCTTCAGCTGAGGACAGAAGGGTGAAGTGCTGCCCTAGGGGACAAGGCTGGCCTAGAGGAAGAGGCCCAGATATCTGGACCCAGGTCATTTTCAGGTTATGGTTTCCATTGGTGATATCTCCCATCCAAGTACTAACCAGGCCCGACCCTGCTTAGCTCCCGAGATCAGATGAGATCGGGCGCGTTCAGGGTGGTATGGCCGTAGACTCCATTGGTGATATCTAAAGGCAAAAGAATCCTGCACCAATTTTCTCTGCTTTGCTGCTGAGCTCAGAGAAGGAGTGCACACACCTGCCCTTCAGCACGGAGGGCAGGAGGCGGCTGGGAGAGCGGCTCCGAAAGTCAGGGTGGCCCCTGGGAGCAGAAGAGCAAGTGTGGGCCGAGGGTTGGGGCCCATTGTGGCTGCACTCCGACCCGTTGATAAAGTATTCCGTGTGGGTAGACCACAATGCCTAAAACACCAGAATCTGGGTGTCCATACTCACTTGGGACAGAGCCTCAGTTTCCTACTCCTCTGCCCTGTTCCCCAAACCACCCACCGTCTCCTCATGGTCCTGCGTGGTGGGGTTGAGGGCCCTCAGTGTTCCTCCAGTGCTCTTCCCACCAAGGCCCTCAGCCTGCCTGCTCTCCTGGATGTGCCTTTCTGAAACAGAGCCTCTAGGAAAGCAAGGCCCTGCGTGGCTGCTGGGGTTCCATGGCCCTTCCTTGTGAGTCACCTGTGAGCGACCATTGGCCCCAACCAAAGCCTCCCATGTTCTTCTTTATTTTGTCCTTTCCCATTTTATAAGGTGTCTGGCCTGAACTCTGGCCATCTGCCCAGAATATTGTGAAGTCTGCTCCATGCCCGCCAATAGCCCAAGGCTGAGGGGCTCAACCTTGCCGGTGTCTCTAGGGGCCCCGTCTGGGTGGATCCCTAGCTACCTGAAGGGGGCTTGCCAGGCAGACGTGGTACCGTCCCCGTGGTTGTCTGCTATAGCTGGCGCGTCCCCTTTACCTATGGTGCAGGCGGCAGGTCTGGCCTTCACCAGGGACAGATGTAGCGTGGGTGGCTGTCCCCAGGGGGAGTGGCTAGTGGGTCTCTGCCTCCTGTGCCTGGCCTGGGGACTGCCTGTGTTCTTACCTGGAAATTCACTTAAAGGGCCGCAGACTCCTCCTGGTATGAGGACCCAAGAACACTATACGCAGATGGGGCCTCCCCTGTGCCCACCTCCATCAGGGCTGTCTGGGAGAGTATGCGGGGAGGAGGGCTGTGACTAGCAGGTCCCCAGGCAGGAGGGCCAGACCCAGCACCTGCTCTGTGCACCTGAGGGAGCAGCCCCAGGGGACTGCCCCAAACAGAAGGTCTGCCTTCCCCCAGCACTGAGATGAGCCGGGCCACTGGGACACATGGCTAAGCTCTTGAAGGCCCCCATCAGCAATGGGGGGCAATAGCAGCACCCCCAAACTGAGGAGAGGGTGGGTAAGCCAGGAGGGGCAGGTCTGCACTAATGCCGAGGGGCTGTGAGCCCCCAAGCCTGCTACGGGGCTTCCTGGCAGGCTGCAAAGCGCAGAAACCCACTGCCCTACGCCTGGCTCTCTTCCCTCCCCCTTCTCTCCCCTCCTCCTCACCCCACCCTATCCCTGCCCTGTCTCAGATGCCGGAGGCCCCACCCCTGCTGTTGGCGGCCTTCTCATTGGGCCTGGTGCTGCTGGTGCTTCTCTGCCTGCGACGCTGGGGCTTGGGCAAACTCCTTATCTCCTGGAACGAGTTGGTCCTACAGCCCCTCTACAACCTGTTCATGGGCGACACCAAGGAGCAGCGCATCCTGCGTCATGTGCTGCAACACGCAGTGGCCGGGGACCCGCAAAGTGTGCTGGAGGCCATCGATACCTATTGCTCACAAAAGGAGTGGGCTATGAATGTGGGTGACAAGAAAGGTGGGTAGTCCAGCTGGCAGGTAGCGGGCACGGGAAAGGGGACCTGGCGGGGGCAGCCCCGCCCTGGAAAAGGGAGGCCTGTTATTGCTGTGCTGCACCCCTGGGAGTTGGGCCCTGCGGACAGATAGGATAGCCATTGTCCAGTCCCCTTGGAGACTCTGACAGTGTCCAGCCCAGGGGGCCAAGATGCAGCCTGTGTGCATGGTGGCGTGAGGGCTTCCGCAGAGGGCAGCTCTGGGTTAGGACGAGTTGGGGTCCGGAACCAGGCAAAAGAGAGGGACCAGCTTGTGCTGAGACCCAGAGGCCAAAGGGACCAGCATGTGCTGAGACCCAGAGGCCTAAGGAACTCTGGAAGCTCTGAGGTTGTGTTTAGTGCGATGGTGGGGGGGTGGCGACGGTGGGGGTGGGGGTGGGGGAGGCAGTCATTGGTAGGGGCTGATGCTCCGTCTGGAAGGAGCAGGTTTGGGACCAGGAGTGGGTCATCTCCTCCCGCTGTGCTCACTCTCCCCTCTACCCCACAGGCCAGATCTTGGATGCAGTGGTGCAGGAGCAGCGCCCATCAGTGCTGCTGGAGCTGGGCGCCTACTGCGGCTACTCGGCCGTGCGCATGGCCCGCTTGCTGGAGCCCGGGGCCCGCCTGCTCACCATTGAGCTCGACCCTGACTACGCTGCCATCACCCAGCAGATGCTGGACTTCGCGGGCCTGCAGGACAGGGTGTGTGGCCGCCCTGGGGTGTAGAGTGCAGACACCCAGGTGCCAGGGGCTGGGTGCAAGGGGGAAGGGAAGGGCCTGGGTCACCCCAGCGTAGTTCTTTCATCCTGTCATACGTGGCCTTGTGCTGCCTCCCAAGCCATGTTTCCCAGAAACCCCCGCAGAGGAAACTCCCAAGGCTGTCCTTGGGTGGTGGGGTGGGGTGCAGAGTGGGGACTTGTCTCCCCAGAACCCCAAAGAAGAGTGGTGATGACCCTCAAGCTGGTGTCCAGGCAGAGCCGTCTGTGAGGACAGATACTGACAGAATGCTGTTCCAGGTCACCGTTGTGGTCGGGGCATCCCAGGATGTCATCCCCCAGCTGAAGAAGAAATACGACGTGGACACACTAGACATGGTCTTCCTCGACCACTGGAAGGACCGGTACCTGCCGGATACGCAGCTCCTGGAGGTGAGTTGTGCAGCTACCTGACCCACATGGGCCTCATTGCTGGCTGCTGGTGCAGGGGCAGCCCTGGCTGGCCCCAGCAGCAGAGGAGATTTGGGCAGGGAGTGTGGAGGGCCAGAGGGCGGCATGGAGATGGGAGGAAGGGGGTTCTAGGCAGAAGAAGTTGGCCAGGCCCGCTAGGTGGCCTAGGCTGGGTGACAGGGAGGGGTGAGCACCAATGGGGCATCTCCTGCCTGTTTTCCCCTGAGGCTCCTTATGGCGCATTCCTCTCCACCCCTTGGTCCCTGTCCTCACACCCCATCCTGTCCCAGCCCTCAGTGCTGCTGTTTGGCTAGCCCCAAGTGGTGACCAGAGAGGCTGCCTTGTCCCCATGTGGGGCACCAGGTGGGCCCTTCGTGAGCCGATGTACAGAGCTTATATTGATGATTACTACCTTCCCCTACCTGGGCGGTCAAGGTCACACTTACTGGCTCCTTGGCCTTCCACCGGGGGCTTGGAAGTTTTGCCCCACCCTGGCCTACCCCTTCTGGCAGTCAGCATGGAGTGATTCTGTGTTGTTTGTCCCGTGTTTACCCACCTCAGTTCCCCATGGGCTGGCCACTCTGCCTTGTGCAGTGGGACTATGAATGGGGGGATGCCTGGCCACCGGAGCTGTGGCGAGAGGTTGGCCAGGACCTTGTGCCCAGTGGATCTTGTCCAGACCTGGAAAGCCAGGAGCCTAGACATGGCAGGAGGGAACCTGCCCTGGCCTGGGGTCTAGGAGGGCACAGGATATCATGGGGATGGGCAGACCTAGGGCAGTAAGTCAGAGCCACACGTGGAGGCCTTGAACAGCACACACTGAGGGGAACATGGGGGGTTTTAAGCAGGTGAGGACAAGGTCAGATTTGTCCCCAGGAAAGGTCTCCATTGGGTGCATGGAGGGTGGGGAGGGATGGCCATAGAGGGTGGTACAGAGACCTGGACTCCATGGAGGTTCTGAGCTCTGAGAGTGGAGGGGGACAGGGGACTGGCCTGCTGAGACAGGTGGTCAGTGTGGCTGATGGCAAGGAGACCCCTGGGCCAGGAGCCAGGCAGCTATGTGTGGAGCATGGCCGGCTGGGGGAGGGCCCAGCCTCAGGCTGGGGGCATGAACCTGGAAATCAGATGTTGAAGGCAAAGGCCAGCCAGCCAACCCAGCTGGGCCTGCACAGGGAGGGAGGGATTTCAGCAGCTCTGGTGTATGTGATAATTGTGGGGCCTGCATTTATAGGAAAGTAGCAAATATTGCCGTTTAGTAACTAGGAAACTGATAGTTTTCTCAGTGCTGCTTGTTCAAAGCTGGTAATTATCTCAAAAGAAAAGAAGTCACGAATTGGGAATGGCTGTGCTTTTTTAAAATACACATTCTTTAGCCCTGCAGCTGGGCTCTGCCAGCCCTTGGCTTTTGCCCGGTCATCCCAGCTCTGCAGCAGCCCAGCTGTCCCTCTCTTGGCCGGGCTTGGAGGCCGGCAGGGGCAGGTGGCAATTTGAAATCAGATGGCTTCTCTGAGGAGGCCTCAATGCCGCATCTCACAGGCTCTCCACGGGGCTGCTTGGGTGTCCTCACAACCCCCGGCTGGGGTCGGGGGATGGAAACAGAAGAGGCAACAGGGGAGCTGTGGTCTCGGAAGGCATGCACCACCACTTTTGCCTCCTTCCCTTTGTTAGAAGCGAGTCACTAAGCCCAGCGCACTTCCAGTGGAAAAGGAACTGTGGACACAGTTTAAAACCATTATCCAGTACAGGCAGGGGTTGGCACAAGAGGTTTGCTCAGACTGGGTAGGCTTCTGGGCAGAGTTCTCCAGAGGGTCTGTGTCCTCTGTTGGGAGGCGTGTGATGCCTAGAGAAAGGCAGGATAGGTGCTGCCTTTTCCTTCCTGCTGTCTCCAGCTTCCTCAAGGGTGGGTAGGGCCCAGCACCCTCCAAATGTGCCCAGAGCTGCTTTCTTTCGTTCCTTCTTTCCTGGTCAACTCACTGGTTTTTAGGGTCTGATGACTTTCAGGCCACTGACTGACCCATCTTGAGCTCCTGCTCACCTTGTCCGCTTCTGGCTAGAGACCTAAGCCACCTTTCTGGGGCCTGGGCCAGGGCCGCCTGCTCTGGGACAGCTCTCCATTCTAGGTCTTTCTAGCCAAGACTGCTAGGGAGCTTTCTTTTTATATGAGGAAATGCTCCATGATTCACAGTGGTACTTTCTGTTCCACTCTGGTTCATGGGCTGTCCCTGGCCTCCCTGATCTCACAGCTCTGTTTTCCACTCTCGCTGGAGGATCCTTGGCTTCCCCCATACAGCCCACAGGCTGGAAGTGACCATGGCCTCCAGGAGCACTGAGACACTTGTAAGACTCTGTGCTAGGGCACATCCCTGGAGGGGTGCGGAGTTAAAGCCCGTGTTTTTAAACCACTTAGAGATGATCCATTGCATGTGGTCCTGTTGGCAATTTGAGACATGCCTGGGGTCACTCTGATTTTGCTTTTGATGTCTCAGATTGCTTATTATTTTTCTTTTAACTTTTATGATCATGTGAAAAAGCAGCTCTACACTTCCAAAATTAAATCTAGGACAAGGCAACTGGGGTGACCAACTGCCCTGGGCTGCCCCTCTCCCACAGGCAAGCATTTCCTCCCAAGCTTTCTTTCTGTTGTTTCCTATAAGCTGGGCAGCCTTGTCCCCAGCGCTCCTCCCTGGCCATGTCCAGCTGGTCCTTCCTTCTGCAGAGCTCCCAGGCCCAGATGCTGGTAGAGGGGTGTCTCACCTGCCAGACTTTGGGGATGTCCAGAGCAAACCTCTGTGGGTGGTGAGGTCTACCCCACCACTGCCCCCATCCCTGCAGGGTCACCCTGGTCGGGCTGTTGGGGATCTCCAGCGATGGCGCACAGTGGTAGCCAATGCACTGGGCACTAGGCAGCTCACCTGGAAAAGCCCCATGTTCCTGGCACCAGGTGACCGAAGGACCCGCTGGCCTGGAGTCGGGCCCGTGGCCTGAATCCTGGTTCTGTTGTCTCTTCCCACTTATTCCTCTGGCTATCGTTCCTGAACAACTGTGTGGCTGCCACATGCTGTTCTAGGGGCAGGGACACAGGACCTAATGGGGAGCGAAAGAGTTTCCCTCCCAGAGCCATATTCTGGAGGCAGGACTTGTGCGCAGCTGCCAGGGAGGAGATGGAAGGCAGTGGGGAGACCCTTGTGGCCCCAGGAGCTGGAGCAGGGCTGACTCTAGGCCAGGCACAGGCCAGTGTACAGACCCACCCTCTAGCCAAGAGCACTTACCCTCCCAGTTTGGGACTGGCTTGCTGGGTTCCTATCACCCTCACCCCTTCCCACCATCTTTTCCCTGCAGGAGTGTGGCCTGTTACGGAAAGGGACAGTGTTGCTGGCTGACAACGTCATCTGCCCAGGAACACCAGAATTCCTGGCATACGTGCGTGGGAACAGACACTTTGAGTGCACACACTTCCCTTCATACCTGGAGTACTCAAAGGAAATAGATGGCCTAGAGAAGGCTGTCTACCTTGGCCCGGGCACCCCAACTCAGCCTTGACCACCCACCCTGCTCCTGGATCCCTTGCCAAGCCTGCTTATGAAGGGCACCAGGGATGTGCTCCTGCCAAGCCACTTTTGTGGCTCTGGGGTCAAATGTACGACACTTGAGGCCTCTGAGCCACAAGCCTGCTGGTCCTGGCCCCTCTAGAGGGCAACTCTGGGCTGTCACCCCTGGTCTGCCCCAAGTGCAGCCAACTCACCATACACAGTCACTGCAATAAATCTGTAAAGTATGTTTGTGAGTACCAAATCAGGATGGGTGGTGCCCGTGACAGTGTCTCTCACTCCCACCAGCATTTCAATCAATAGGGTTTCTTACACGGATAGGTCTTCAGGCATCAACTTTGCAGTAGACCCTTGGTGTAGGAACATTTGGAAACCAATGGACTGTGCACTCGTAGTCTGTTCTTGAGGTTTGCCGTCACCAGGTGGCAGCAATGCCTCAGTGATGGCACCATGCCCAACAACTCACACCCACTTGTGATTCCTGGGTTCTTTGACTTCATTTTTAAGAATGAAATGCAACTTCTTTACTAAAATCAGCTATTAACAATCTTGTATACCGGTATCATGTTTAAAAGAAGCTAAAAGAGGAATTAAAATTTTAAATATTTACAAAGATCAACTTAGTGCTTCCTTTTAACTGCTTCCCCGCTCCTTCTTTCCTGTAGTGCTCCCCTTCGCTGGATGCTAATGCTGGCCTGGGGTACAGGGGCGGGGGGGGGGGGCAGCTTATGTGGTCAGGCTGAGGTTACCCGCTGCATCCCCAGGGGGATGTCAGCAGGCTGAGGTGAGCCTGGAGGCTTGTCCTGGGAAACTGGAACACAGCAGTTGCTCAGCCTGCCTGTCCATCTCTGACGAAGCAGGCACTAGGGAATGGTGGACGTGGGGTCTCCGCCACAGTGCAGGGTGTGAGCTCTCTGGCACCTGGCCCGTTGGGGTCCCTATGTGGCACAAGTAGAAGCAACTCTCCCAGCCGACGTGGCATTGTTTATGGAAGACAGGACTCGGGTCAGCTCTGGTGCTTCCACAGCTACCCAGTGAGCAAGGGAGATATAATTGCTTTTCATCTCCCCAAATCCACAACTGCCCAAATCCCCAGTCCCAACCCTGGCCTTATGGCCCCAAGGCCTACCCTAGCTACCTTAGAGGCTCCCCAGGGATCCCCCCCCCCAATTCTGGCTGAGCCCACCTGTGTGCAGACCAGCCTCTGGCCAGGACACCGCCATGGGACTCGGGGCCCAGCCAACCACCCAGAAGCAAGTCTTCTTCTGTGTGTGTGCAGAAAGGGGATCACAGTGGGCCTGGGAGGACATGTGAAGAAACCCACCCCGGGGCCAGGGAGCTGAGCCCCCTCCGGATGTAGCACATGGACACCCATGCCCCACCTGGCAAGCAGGCAAGGGCAAGCAGCTGGTGGCAAGAGATCTGAGCCACAGAAAATAGGAAGTTCCTTTGTTGCTTTTTTTAATTTTTAAATTTTCTTACAAAAATTTAGGTGTTTACCAATACAGTCTTATTTTGGTTTCATTTTTAATGCTTTTTGTCAGTGTTTTTCTTCTGTGTTTAAGTCCCGAACAGCAGGCACTAGGCAGCAGTCCCCCATTGCTGCCGAAGGTCAGTCCCGGAGCTGTGACTTGGGGATCCGGCAGACAGGGTTCAGCAGCCACGGCCAGGCCAGAGCCGCTCAGGGAAGGCTCCTGCTGCACTGGGGTTCCATGGAGCCAAGGGCAGGGTGGGGGGCAAGCACAGCCTGACCCCCATCTTGCTACCTCCAAAGCCTGTCTGTATGGGCCAGCACCGCCCCCCACCATGGTCTGCCTGCCATGCAGGGTGGGACACAGAGCCCAGCAGATCCCGTCTACCTTCCAGAGTCAAACTCCTTCTCTGAGCCCCCTCCTCCCTTCCCCACTGCCTGCTCTCAGGGCCCGCCACCAGGCTCCTCTGGGGCCCTGCACACACAGGAGCACAGTTTCCTACACCACCAGCCCCAAAGCAAAGCCAGGTGCCCTGTCCTGCCGCTTCCCTGGGCCCCACCCTGGCAGCTCCACTGGCTTTCTTTCTCTCTCTCACTTGCACACAGCACCATGTCAGTAAACAGCTAACTCAGCCTAGGGAGTTAGGAGGGAAGGAGCGAGGGGCAGGAAGGGAGGCATGTCCAGAATGTCTGGCCCTGGCTCCTGGGTAAGAGGCGCTGCCAACCCCTGCCGCCAGGGGGCTCCAAGCTCCACAGCAGGTTCTGTGAGGGCCAGCCCTGGAGTTCCCTTCTTCCCATGATCAGATCCCTAAGAACAAACGGCTACGCTGGAGACCTAAGGAGGGAGAGGGGAAGGTTAAGCAGGGTGGCCTGGGGGCGGGGGAGGGGGGGTGCTGGGTGGACCCCTCCACAGGCTAGGCCAATGAAAGTATGGACAAAGGCAGCTGCTGTAGGTGGCAGAGGCTGACCTCGCGAATCTCACTATCAGGGCCAATCCGACTTGCTGGTCATTGGGGGGCACTGTGCTTGGGGCATTAAATGTGGGGGCCCTGTTCCTGCTCTGGACCCATATGACACAGTGCCTGAGCCGGGACTGCATGCCTGGGGGGCATGTCCATCTCAAACCCCAGCCTGTCCCAGAGATGGGCATTTGAGCCTGCTGAGCTTGAAGCCGGAGTCCCACCAGGGAGCACCAAGGGACAGAACATGCAGCCAGCAGAGATTAACGAGAAGCCCCTTCCCAGAGCACAGGAAACAGCTGAATGAAAAACCAGACGAGAGAACGTACCAGGCATGCAACTAGACCCAGGAGTCAACGGGCTGAGGCTTAGCATCCCCCACGGCGTCCACCAGCCTGACTGCGGGCCTGCTGGGCCCAGGAGGAACCTTCCTGCTGGGGTCGGGCTGCAGCAGACCAGTGGGCAGTGGGCAGGAAGGCATTAGAGGCAGAACAGAGCAGGTTAGTCAGCGCTGACGGGTGGGGGCTGGGCTGCTGAGTGGGCGAGGCCAGAGCCAGGGTGCACACAATGGGGGAGCTGAGCTAGTGTGGCCCACATAGATACACACTGATGTGTAGACACACACAGGCCTGTGCCCAAAGCCAAGAGACTGTCACAGAACAGGTTAACAGGAGCTGCCCTGTAGGCAGGACAACGACGGGCCCTCCCCCAACCCTCCTCCCCACACCACACAAGCAGAGAAGGGTGAAGACACGCTTGCTCAGACTCCCCCGGCCCTTGTGCATCTTCAGGGCAGGGCCCTCCGTCCCGTGCCCCTGCTCTCCCTATGTGTGTGAGCTTTAAACCACCTGCACCCAGAGACTAATTCTGACAGTAAAGTTTCTGAGGCTGGGGGTGGGGGGCAGTCCCCCAGGCTCTGTCTCCCAGCCCAGCTGCCCTGCAGGTGAGCCCCACCCCAGTGGACCAGGCCTAAACTCAGCACCTTCAGCACCTAGCCAGGGCCCCTCTCAGGCATGCCCTGGGCACCTGCCCACAGCCACTTACTTTCAACGGTTCCTTCTCAGAGGCTTCCCCTGCAGGGTCACTACCTCGAGCCCTCCGCTCCCTCCGGTCCACAGTGGAGTATCCGTCTTGGGGTGGGGACAGGAGAGGAACTCAGGGGCAGGCATCACAGGAGCAGCTCTCCCTCTCAGCCCAGGCACAGGGGGCCCCTGGGACAGGGTGCACTGGGAGATAACCTCTACCTGCTCCAACACTGTGCTGGAGACGGGCCAGGTCGTTTCGTGGTGGCTCAGAACCCTCCAGCCCCCTTCAGCTGACAGACCAAAGACCTTGGCTGGGCACAAACCCCTCCTTTTGGCTACCCACCGTCCCGCCCCCCAGCAACACCCCTAAATCAAATCTCTTTCCAACCAGCACCTCCTTGGTAGGCTTTCCCAGCACCAAACACACAAGGCAAAACCACCTGGCCCATTTCAGAGCCTCCACTACCCTCCGCCACCCCCTGCCCCCCCACAGGAAACAAGCAGCTCCATATCTGCACTCACCTGGGCCAAGTGCCTCCATGGGGATCACGTCCCGGCTGCCTGGCTTCTCACCATCTGCAAAGCACAAGCCAGGTGGCTGGCTCGTTGCAAGAACCAGTGGGGACACCAGGACAGACAAACCCACAGCAGGGATGGCTTCTGTGACCTTGGGTATCCTTTGTCACTAATATCTTAGCACCAATCTGCCGGTCCTCTGCCACGGAAACATCCCCCCCCCCGCCCCCCATCAATGTGGACACCATGGGTGTAGAGGTTGTAGGAGGCTGCAAGCCAGGAAAGGGGCCCTCCCAGCCCTCACCTGTCTCAGCACAGTCAATGCACCTAGGTGGAAGAGCATTTCTTATACCTCAGATACGGTTTTCCACGCCCCGACCCCATACTCACCAAGGCTCTTGTCCACCAGTGGCAGGGTGCTGTCGTCAAAGCCTCCAGGACTCGGTGCTCCTTTGGGTCCCTTAGCAGTAGCAGCGGCTGACTAGGGGTGGGCAGGGGCACAAAACAGACAGGGTGTGGGGTCAGGGGCACTCCTGTGGGGGACCTAGCCTGGAGAAGCGCTGGAGGAAAAGAAAGGCCAGGCAGGCCACACCTGGAAGCGTGCCTTTGTCCAGCCATCCTTCTGTAGGGCACCTCGCAGCTCCTTGTAGCTCCACACAGTCTGCAGCACGTGGGAGGCGGCCTTCGCTTCGCGCACCGATTGGCTGCGGCCAGGCCCAGGGCGGGGTCAGCACTTGGTCCGTCCTGCCCTCCCCACCGGCCCCGCCCTCCCTTGGCCCCCTCTCCAGGCTGCACCCTCATCCACCTGGCAGCGCCAAGTGCTACCAGCGCTGGCACCCCTCGGGCCTGTAGCAGTGAGCGCGCATTGTCCAGGCTGTCGGACACGATCTCATGGATGGTGTTGAGCACGGCCACCACTGTGTCCTCCTCCAGGCGGGCACCCGGTCGCGGCGGAGTCTGTGCATTGCGCACGTTCCGCACCAGCTCCGCCATGGCATAGCTCCCTGAAGGGCAGGGGCTGTTGTCAGCACACACCTCTGCCCACCCCAGCAGGAAGGGGTGGGATCCACCAGGAGAGCCCTCAGGGAGCTGCGAAGTCACCCACTGTGCACAGGGGCTAGACTTGAGACTGTTTGGGAAGACCTGAGCTCCAGAGGCTGGGATGGAATGACAGAAGCAGGGCTGGGCCCCTGACCTCCTCCCCACCCTGCCGGGGGATGTGGGGGAGCACCCCAGAGCAGCCCCCTGGATTCTGCATCCTGGCTCTGCCCCACCAGCATCCTCACCAATGAGGTCCTTGTTGCGCCGGTCCAGGGAGAGGTTGCGTAGGGCGATGGCAACAGCACGCACCACCTTGTCAGTCTCGGACTGCAGCAGCTCCACGAGCACCGGAAGGCCACGTTCCTTGCGCACCGTGGCACGGATGTAGGTGGCCCACTGTGGCAGTGGAGCGGGGAGGGTGCTCAGCAGCTGAGTCCCGCCCACAGGCCTAGACACTCTCCTGCCTGAGCCCTGACTGTTCCCTCTGGCTGGACCCTCCTCCCCGGCAGGACAAAGCCCTACCCAAGCATCTCAACTCTACCTCCACCTTGCAGCCTTTGTGCTGCAAACCTCCCCGGACTTTGGGGAGGCACCATGTCCCAT